TGACTCTACTAGGTTCTCTGACAGCCTCAGGTTCTTCTGGGGACTAGAAACCCCGTAGGTGCCTCTTTGGGGTTCCTAGAATATCTCTTATACTTCCAGTAAGGCACCCCCCAAATTTTAGGTCTGTACATCCTAGAAACAACATATAACTGATTAGCTCCGTTGATTTGCATGGCAACACGAATGCGCTACACATTTGTAGTTCTCTCACATGTGACAGGAGCTCTCAGCGTGTGTGTGTGTGGGGGGGGATGGGGGGTACAGAGCAGCAGCCACAGCACCTGGGAACTTGTTAGAAATTCAAATTCTTGGGCCTCATCCCAGGTTAGCCCGAAGATTGAGAACCACTGACATATGGCATCTCAATTGATTCTCGCAACAGACCTGCAGTTTCACATAATTCATATTTGACACATATAGTAACCAAGATGCTACAATTCAGGATTTTTGCCCAAGGCTACAGAGAACTCAAGCGTCCAAAAAAAGCTGAGTGCAGTATGCTTTCTACAGAAAACCAGGGCCAGTTAGCGTCTCTGTCTGCATGGCCACAGCCACACTGGTGGACCTGACCTTGGTCTGACCCGTGGCTGTCGGTCCTAAGGGTTCAAGACTGTGGAGGGACCCTTCTCCATGGATGGAGAAACTGCCCTTGGAAGGTGGGTCAGGAGTGCCACACCCAGAGACAGAGGCCACCGGCCCGTGCGGTAGGTCTGCCCATTTCCATCCAGAGGGCTGGTGGCCCAACTCCACGCATAGACTTGACAACAAGGAACCGGTCTTCTGGAGCGAATGCGGTGCAAAAATGAAAACACAGCAGTAAGCATTTATTGAGTGCTTACTATACAAGCAATATTTTAAATATCTGTATATCTCATTTATTCTACGAAATGGACTCTATTATGGAAAAATAAACTGAGGCTTTGGTATACACATGAGAGAAATACGCAGGAATAATATTAACCTTGTTTATCCCATGTATTACCATTTACGACATACTTTTATACCCTTTCATGCACGCTCGTGTCGTCATTCATTATCAGCCCCATTTTCTAGATGAGGAAACGGAATTGCAGTTGAACCATCTCTTGAACTCCCTTAAGGTCATGAACTAAAACTTCCCTCGCCCCTGCTTCCCCTGCTGCACACCTGCCCCCCCCCACCCCCCACTCAGAGCACAGCAGATCTCTGACGGGAACCCCCAAGTCCCCGCCTCCCCTGGCTGGATCCAGCTGCGACATGGTGTTAGCCAGCGGAGTGCACGGGAGTATGTATGGCTTTCAGCTTTAAAAGCTCATCTCCCTCCATGGCTAAGCCAGGCCTAGTTAGATGTAGATACATAAATATCTTCTTTATGCCCTGCCCCAGGGGAAAGATAGAACCAAATAAATCCGATTAGCTGCCCAGGATGCTGGCCGCTCTCGCTCTTTGAAGTCCGGTGGGTGGAGATAATGCCATTTTCACGTGGGAGAAGTCGTCTCGGAGGGTGGAGGGTCCCCAGCACTGAATGGTGGCGATGCACAGCTAAATGGGAGGGCGATGCCACCCTAAGGCCATGGGGCTCCTATGCCAGGGTCCTGTGCTCCTGTTGCCCCCTCCCGGCCTCCCCGTGCCCCTGGGGTATCCCCAGATACATCTGTTCATGCTGATGGCAACTCCGGTGGCTGCTAAGGAGATAATGCTGCTGCCCAGAAACAGAATAAGATGACCTAGAGAGGCCGGTCCACGCTCAGGGGGCCAGTAGTAGCAACGGGCATTTTATTGATGTTAGCAACAGTCCTTATGTCCCACGGGAGAAGAAGCATGGCATGGTTTTTGTCTCTTGTTATTAGGACAGGAACTGTGTGTGTGTGTGTGTGTGTTCGCACGCGTGCCCGTGCACACACTCACAGAAGCAAACAGGTTGGAGAGGCCTCATTGTAGCTGATGAAAGCCATCACCTGGCCACCAACTGCTAGTTGTTTGCCCGAGAGCCTAGCAGGACGAATCCTACTCTCTATGGCCTGAGAGAAGCAGCCAAATACACAAGCAAAAGCTTATGACAGCCTTGTCTCCTGGGGCAATCTTGGAGCCCGTTTGGGCATTTGGGAAGCCCCTGATCATAGTCTTTAAATGTAGTGCCAGAAGGTCTGAAACAGCAGACCATAAGGAATTTTTGTAAAATGTTTAGAATTTCTTAAGGAAAAAAAAAAAAAAAACTCCTAAGAGGCCTCATAAAATCTCTTCTTTTAATTCTTTAATCTCCAAACTGAATCAGATTTAGCCCAGACAAAGAGCAAGGATGTGTACACATGTGTGCATCTATAATATTACACATAATAAAACAAATCACTATACAAGTATCTATTTTTGTCAAAGTTAAAAGGATTCTACAATCCTGTTTACTAACCCAAGGCATTATACTTCCAAAAGCATACCTTTAACGCTCTGCTACTGAAATTTGAATTTGTTCTCTAGGCTCATTAGAGATGAAAAACAATGGCCATCATTTACAATGTGTCAACTAGTTCCAGTCTGAAGATTTATTCCACACACCCCCCCTCACACACAGACACACACACACACACACACACGTATGCCTACAGCTAGTTCTTACACCACAGAAGTAAAACTGTGGATGAAACAGTAGCCTGTTGACCATGGTCTGAGAGGTGGTGCTGTTTGGCCCACCCCCCCCCCCACACACACACACACACACACACACACACACACACACACACACACACACACACTGTACCTCAGCCTCATTTCTAGTCTAAATTAACATTCCAATTTATTAGACTCGATGGGGATTTTTTTTAGCCACTCACAGGAAGCAGTACCTCCTTTTCCATCAGATGCCTGGGTTTCCCTAAAGTGGTGTTTATTTTTTTCTTGGCTATAAATATATGAAAGACTCTGTCAAGAGTACCCACAGGGAATGAAGGTGAAAACTCGGTAAAGAGCCAGTTTATGAGTTGGCAGCTTGAGTGACTGGCTTCTGAACAGGGACCCCTCTGTCTGGGGTCGCCCTGTGACCCCGGCTCTCGTGGAAACCTCGCCTGCTTGGGTCCTCGCATGCAGCTGACCCGCAGGCCAGGGTCAGCACCTGGAGCTTCATGCAGGCCTCCTAGATAGGTTTCCATGGGAAATTTCCCCTGGGTCCAGCTTTTCGTAAATCCTCAGATTTCTTACTAGACATGGGCATGCCAGTGTGGTAATTGTGTGATTCCAGAAACAATTACCACTTCCAACCCAGCTTTGGGAATCGAACTCCTTCTCAGGTGTCTTGATGTCCAGAAGGCAGGCTGTCCCCTCCTCTGTAAAGAATCTAGAAATAGGATCTAGAAGGAAAATTAGAGATCTTTTTGTCTGCTGCTTTGTTCTCTCATTTTTCATTTACCTTCCCAGAAGCAATGACCAGGCATCCACTACCTGTCAGGAACTGGGGTAAAGACTGGGGACACAGAGCCTGATTCTCAAGGCTCACAGACAGTGACAAAGGCAAGCCAACCAGAACCCAAATCTGAGAGCTAGATGCGATCAGGGGAGGATATCCATATCCCAGCCTGGAGGCCAGTGCAGGGAGAGGGTCAGGGACAGCTTCCAAAGCAGGAGATGCTGCCCAGTCAGTGTGGCTCAGTGGTTGAGCATTGACCTATGAACCAGGAGGAGGTCACAGTTCGATTCCTGATCAGGGCACATGCCTGGGTTGAGGGCTTGATTCCCAGCAGGAGGTGTGCAGAAGGTAGCCAGTCAGTGATTCTCTCTCATCATTGATGTTTCTATCTCTCCCTCTCCCTTCCTCTCTGAAAACAATAAAAATTATTTTTAAGAAAAAGAAGGAGATACTGAGTTTGCAGACTAATTAGAGGCAATTAGCTAAAGGTGGGCCAGGACGAAGATTGGGGGATGGGGGGTAGGAGTGAGTGTTTCCCATAGAGAGAAAAGTACCTTCCAAGGACCAGAGGTGGATGAGGAAGGCTGGCCCCTCAGAACTAATCCTAAACTCACATGGCTGGACCCTGATGCACAAGAACCTGCAGTGAAGGAGGTAGGCAGGGGCCAGGTTGTGAAGGGCCTGCATCTGAGGTCCAGAGAGAGGAAGAGCCTGCCTAAGCCCAGCTCACCCCGTTCCCTCTAAGGCTGTCCATTGCTAACCGTTGCCTGTTGAGCAGCGTTGGGCCTTAAGGCTCGCAGCCAGCATTAGGACAATGTATTGCTTGTGACTGTGCCCCCAGGCACTCAATGCCAGTAGCTCCCTCTGCAGGGTAAGGACATCAACCCCACAGACGCCCCAATGCTCCCTCTGCGAACCGCAGTGGACGGGAAGGGGATAGGGAGAGAGGCACCATCTTCCAGAATTTCCCTAGTTGATCCCTGGAAACAGGAAATGGTTGCAGGAGAAGGTGACAGCCAGGTCCTCACTGAGCGAGGCTTCTGGACTCTGTCTTCCTTGGAGAGGGAGAAAGTGGACAGGGGATCGGGGCTGCGGGGAGCTGGAGAAGCAACATCTAGGAAGAGAAATGAGGAAAAGCAATCCTTTCACAGGGTCCTTCTCAGAGCCTCTCCCCATCAAGACCTGTGTGTGTGTGTGTGTGTGTGTGTGTGTGTGTGTGTGTGTGTGTGTTTTACAGTTTTGTTCTCAAAGCAACGCGGCATCCATGCAGGGCCTGGTAATGAAATGAGATAAAAGGCCAGAGCCAGTGTTTAGAGCATTGCTGGGAGGCTGACCAGCCTCCTGGAAAGGCCGCAGCAGTGGGAGCTGGGAGCTGAGGCCGCTGATAACAGACCGCCTCAGGCAGGGACTGTGCGAGCGGCTGGGGAGAAGAGTGGAACCGAGAGGTGGGGGTTCCAGGTTGGAGGCAGGGGCGCATGGAGCCTCTTTCATCCTGTGTCTCGGGAGATAAAATCCGCAAGCTGCCACACCAGTGCCTGGAAATTAATTCCTAAAGGGTTTCACACATTCCAGATCCAGGATAACTCGTGGGTTAGGAATAACAGTGTCAAGGCCGGGAGTTAAGAGAGCAATTTCGTTTTCGTTTTCCCTGCTGACTCCACGTGCCCCTTGAGAGAGGCATGTCTTTCTCCTGGGCAGCCCACCTGGACACCAGAGGGTCTGGGCCTGGCATTGGGCCCTGTCCTCTGCCCTGGCTCAGGTGAGCAGAAAGGCGTGAGCCGGACAGACGGAACCTCTCTGCTTGCTCCCCAAGGACTGTCCCCAGCTGGTGCCCACGGAGGAGATCTTGATACCCGTCGGGGAAGTAAAACCCATCACCCTTAAGGCTCGAAACCTGCCCCAGCCTCAGTCCGGCCAGCGAGGCTATGAGTGTGTCCTCAACATCCAGGGGGCCATCCACCGGGTCCCCGCCCTGCGATTCAACAGCTCCAGCGTCCAATGCCAGAACAGCTCGGTAAGAGGACTCAGACCTGGGCCCTGCCGGGAACCGGGCTTCTCTCACCCCTGCCAAGGCCTCAGCCTGGTCTGCCCCAGCTTCCAGAACCTCCCAGGTCCACAGGCTGATCCCAGAGGCAGCGGACAAAGGGCAGGCACGCACACCAGGCCCCTCGGCAAGCACAGATCAGGCGATGGTGTCAGAGGAGCTGGAGTGCTGTGAGCACCCTAACAGCAGAGCTGAGAGCTCTGTGCCCTTTCTGAGTTGGATGGGTCCAACTCTTGAGGACTTTGGCGAAACTTCAGCCAAAGCCGGTCAGACCCTGCCAACCCCGTCCCCATTCGGGGAGTGGATAAACCAACAGGAGGGCGCTGCACGGGAGCGACCAGCAGGAAGCAGGATGGGATGGGGGGAGGCGGGAAGGAAGGAAGTGGAGGCCGTGAGTTTCAAGAGCAGCCAGGGTTCAACCAATTCCGAAGGCCAGACAGAAAGCCCGAGGTGTTTAATTATAATAGCAGCCCAGAGATCTTCTATCTGCCAACTCCCTGTCTCCGCAGGTGGGAGGTCAGCGGGAGATGGGGGTGACATGACAAAGGTGTTGAGGGAAGCTAATTCGCCCGGGAGAGATAAAGAGGATCTGGGCCGCTTATCAGGGAGCTGTCAGATTGCCGGGTCACAGGCGCTTGATGGAATTTGTAATCGGTGGAAGGCCGCCAAGCACAAAGGGAAGTTGGGACAAGAAAGAAATGGAACAACAAAGGGAGAAGGTGGCAGGAGGGGCTCCGGGCAAAAGGGCTGATGGGGACATGCCCTGAGAGCTAAGTGGCCAGGGCTGGGGCGGTCCCCACGGAGGGGGTTCCCAGAGGTCCCCTTCACAGAGACACAGGGCCTGGGCCACCGAGAGAGGCAATTTCTGACATGTGTGTATGTGGGGGGCGGTTACACGTCCTCTGTGGGGTCGGCACCATAGAGAGTCGACTCCTGGCCACAGCTTGAGGCCGTTCATGGCAGAGCTGATCAGGTATCCGCCCGTGAGGCTCTGGGCCCTTCCCTAGCAGAGTGCTGACCATGGTCAAGCTCACGTGCAGGAAGAAAGGACCATGCAGGGCCCAGCCAACCGTGTGTTACACACATGCTCTGCTCAAGGCTCTGGGGTTTACAGGCAGCACATGCACCTCTGGAGAGAGCAGACTTGCACGGGGAACCGTGCAAAGCAGTCCTGGGTTAAAGGCAGAAGTTGGCAACCCCAGGGGACAGAGAGCCCGGGAGGGCTGGCAGGGGTGTTAGAGAAACCTGGGGAAGGCGAGACTGAGCTAGACCAGGAAAATAAAGGGGGGGAAGGACCATGTCATAGGGAGAGAGGGGCATTCCTTGTGAGGAGGGAATGGAGGCACGGGGGACAGCGGGAAGGGGGGTACGTGGGCGAGTTGGTTTGCAGTCAAGTGGACTCAGAGACTTCTGGAGGAGAGCAGAGGAAGAGAAGGTTGGAGGAGTCGGTTTGGACCTGGAAGGCACTGAATGCCAAGCTAAGGGGTTTGACCTGGATCCTGTTGGCCTTAGTGACTGGGAGCCAGGGTGGTGGGCCACAGAGATATTTGAGCGGCACATGGGGTTCCTCGGATTGGCCCGCTGCTGCTTTCTCAGCCCAGGGAACCGGAGTCCCTAGCTTCTTTCCTGCTGTAGTCCCGGTCCCCTGAGACGCCCAGCATCCCTGCCCCCCGTCATAACCTCACCAGCATGTGCCTCTGCCCTCCCCCGCAGTACCAGTACGACGGGATGGACATCAGCAACCTGGCCGTGGACTTTGCCGTGGTGTGGAATGGCAATTTCATCATCGACAACCCTCAGGACCTGAAAGGTAAGCGGCTGCTTCTGGGTAGAGTTTTGATCCGTCCGTGACCCTGGGAAGGACCGGGGCTGGCGGGATTGGAGCCTGCGGCCGCTGTGCCATGAATAACACACTGCCTCTGTCAGCGGAACTCTGCCGAGGGTCCGAAAGCAACACTGGGAGCCATCAAAGGAGTCCTGTGGGGATCCCTGTTTTATTAGAACCAGAGCATCCGCTGTGGCTGCCGGCTCATCGCGGTTTTCTTCGGCTCCCAGAGACTTTGAAGTGTCTGTGGAACCTGACCCAGGAGAGCAGCAGGCGGAATGTCCCACCAGTTTCCCTGGAAAATGGGGATCTTGTTTCCAATCAGGTTCTGGCCCCGTCCTTGCACAAAGGAGGTTTTCAAGCTGCTCCCCTGGTCCTGGGGTGGGTGGGAGAGGCCAGCGCGGGGACTCAAGTGCACAGCTGGCGCAGGAAGTTCAGGAAGGAGCTGGGCTGACTCAGGGGGACTCTCCCGGAGGCTCACCCTCATTCATTGTGTGCAGCGCCTCCTATGGGCCAGGCAGGTGCTACCCTCAGTTCAGTTAATACCAACATTCCATCATGCTCTCAAGAATGACAAAGGTACCTCCAATTTGATGAGCACGCATTGATTATTTTTTTAATATATTTTTATTGATTTCACAAAGGAAGGAAGAGGGAGAGAGATAGAAACATCAAGGATGAAAGAGAATCATTGATCGGCTGCCACCCCACATTGGGGATCGATCGAACCCGCAACCTGGGCATGTGCCCTGACTTGGAATCGAACTGTGACCTCCTGGTTCATAGGTCAATGCTTAAATACGGAGACATGCCAGCCAAGCTGAAATTATTTTTTTAATCATTGCAACAATCCGGATAGGTAAGCACCAGTATTATGCTCATTTTATAGATTAAAAAACCGAGACCCAGTGAGGTTAAGAAATGGACCTAGAGTGCTCACTTCGACAGCACCTATACTAAGACTGAAGTGATGCAGGCTATATATAGCCTGGCCCTGCACAAATGTGCCAATTCACAAAGTGTTTTGTGTTTTTAAGACAAATACTGTATGATATCTTTATATCTTAAACAAACAAACAAAAAGGCAAACTCATAGAAACAGGAAGTAGAAGAGTCGTTACCAGGGCTGGGGGTTGGGGGAACCAGGGAGAGGTGTGTACAAGGGTACACACATTCAACTAGAAGACGAATAAGGTCTGAGGATCTAATATAAAACATGGTGCCTTTAGTTAATAACACCGTGTCGTATAATTGAAATTTGCAAGCAGCGCAGAACTTACATGTTCTCACTGTGTGTATGGCGAAGGCTGTGTATGTTAATAAACTAAATGAAAGGAATCCTTGCCTTGTGTATGCGTATAGCACAGCATCATGATTTCAATATGATACAACCTTATTTGTCAATTTACCTCAATAAAGCTGGAAAAAATAAAGGAAAGGGACCAAGAGTCAGCTAGTAAGAGCCAGGATTTGAACCACGAGAATCTGATGTCAGAGCTCACGCTGAACCACATCTCTTCCTTCCCAGTGACTGAGGCCACTGTGGGGTGTGACGCCTCCTCCTCCAGGACACCCCCGCCCCTGCCCCGCACTGTGAGCCACATGCCTCACCACAGTTCAAACAGCTAAGGTTGCCACAGGTCTCTCCCTGCGCCTGAGGGTCACCGCAGGGACCCCGGCAGGGAGACCAAGGCCACAGCAGGCCTGCAAAGGCTTCGGATCCATGGGCTGCAGCTCCCTGTCCCGGACGCTGCCTGAAAGCCCATGCTGCCTACACTGGGGGAGAGAAACTGAGCCAGGGCGGGTTTTGGGTTTTCCTCTTTCTCCCCATACCCAGGCCACGTTTTCTCAGCGCCGAGAGATAGACATTTCCCCTGCTGAGCTTCTAGGCTCGGTTCCCAGAGGCTGCCTGTGCACCTGGAGCTGAAGGAAACACGGCCACATCCATGCTGTCGCATCGGCACCCTCCCTTGCAGTGCGGGACAACTTTTAAGCAGCTCTTGAGTGCACGGGCGATGCCATCTTCACCTCCGTCTCCCTCCCACAGCCCCAGTGATCCTGGAGCTACGCACTGTGCTGGGAGGAAGAGGCCATGGTGTTTGAGGACTCACGTTCTAGATTCTAACAAGCCAGGGTCACGTCCTGTCTCTCTCACTCACAGCAGTGTGGACTCGGGCTAATCACTCTTCCTCTCTCAGCCCCAGGTGCCCCATCTGTGCCAGGGGGAAAGGATGCCCTTTTCTCAAGGTCACCCTGAGCATCCCATGAGAGCTAGACATGGCCCTGTGTGCACAGTGACAAATGCTCAGTGTGTGCTTGCTCAGTGTAAGATTCCCGTTTCCTGGGATTCCTACCCTAGGAAGCCATGGGCAGGTGGAGGTCTAAATCTAGTCCCTACCGCTGGGACTGGGGATGCTGGATAGAGCAGTGGAACAGGATGGGAACCTGTGGGAAGAATGAAAAACGACGCCTTCCCTGGGGCATGTACACGGCCTCCCACGGAGACACGCCAGGACTCCTGAAAGCTGTGTCTGCTTGACTTGAGTTGAAAACCACTTTCCGAGTATTCTGCTTCTATAGGTTCTACTTGGAACTCTGAGTTCAAAACACCAGCAGGCAACAACTAAACCCCAGGCTCACAAGACAGTTCTGCTAACTGGCCGGTCAAGGGCTTCTAAGTCAGGAAATGCCATAGCAGCAGCAATGGGTTTGCAGACTTCAAAGTGACCTGCTCAGTGGCCACTTTGTCTTCTCTGGGGACAGCCTCTCCATCCACAGGGGCACGAACAGGACTGTGGTAACCCTGTTCCTCATCAGGGCTGCCTCTACTTTGCCAGGCCTTTCTGACGCCTCTTCCAGACCCACCGCTTCCCACTGTGCCGGGCCAGGTGCCTCCCTGCTCAGGACCTACGGTCCAGCAGCACAGCCAGTTGGAATTTCAGGATCCCAGCTTGGGTGCACTCACCTTAGTGAGCTCTAAGAGTGAACAAGTCTCTGAACTTCATTTTTTAAAATATATTTTTATTGATTTCAGAGAGGAAGGAAGAGGGAAAGAAAGATAGAAACATCAATGATGAGAGAGAATCACTGATCAGCCGCCTCCTGCACACCCCACACTGGGGATCAAGCGCACAACCTGGGCATGTGCCCCAACCAGGAATCGAACCGTGACCTCCTGGTTCATAGGTTGACGCTCCACCACTGAGTCATGCCAGCTGAGCTCTGAGCTGCATTTTTATGTGAAATGGGGAAGTTAGTCCTTCCATCTCAGGATGAGGCCACATGTGAGTCAGAGAGGTACCAGCATAAGAAGGTAGTGTGTGTTCAAAGAAAAGATAACAAGCAGATACAGAACATCAGGTATGTTACAGGCCCAGTGCTTAGCACTGAATATATTACATCTCACTCAAACCTCACAGCAAACGACGATTATCCCCATGTTATGGATTAAGTAAACAAGGTTCCAGGAGGTCAAAGTCTATGTCACGTGGCTAAGGAGGGGTGAAGCCTCTATTAAAGCCCTCATCTGATTCAATCTGGAGCCAGAACTTTTAAATAATCTTATTTGCTGCATTGCCTTTATTTTTTTTTAAAAAAAATGTATTTTTATTGATTTCAGAAAGGGAGAGAGAGATAGAAACATCAATGATGAGAGAGAATCCTTGATTGGCTGCCTCCTGCATGCCCACTACTGTGGATCATGTCCGCTACTGTGGATCGAGCCCGCAGTTGACTGGAATGGAACCATGACCTTCTGGTTCATAGGTCAACGCTTGATCCACTGAGCCAAACCAGCTAGAGCTCTGTATTGCCTTTAAATGATTGCAAAGATATTCCACTTATTGTTAATTATTCCTCAATTGTTCTTGCAATGATTGCGATGATTATTGATGTTATCTGTGGCTGGGGATGTTTCTGTCACACCTGTAAGAGGAGGGTAAATTGTGGGAGGCCCCGTCCCACCCCCTCTGAGACTGCCCCCCTGTCTTTGCAGTTCACCTCTACAAGTGCGCGGCCCAGCGGGAGAGCTGCGGCCTGTGCCTCAAGGCCGACCGGAAGTTTGAGTGCGGCTGGTGCAGCGGCGAGCGCAGGTGCACCCTCCACCAGCACTGTGCCAGCCCCTCCAGTCCCTGGCTCGACTGGTCCAGCCACAACGTTAAGTGCTCCAACCCACAGATCACCGAGGTGAGTCCCCCCGTGTTCCAGAGCAGAACGGGATGGCCAGGAGCTGACCCCAGGGCAGTGGGACAGAAGCGCCAGCTGAGCCTTTGTGGAAGAATTCTTGGCCTCTCGGGGGCCCACGTCCAGGGGTCAGTGACAAGTGTATGGAAGTGTGCCCTCGCGCCTGTGCAAGAGTGTGCGTGCACACAACAAGGGAGGCAGAGCCAGGCCTGCTGGCCGGGAAGAGGGGCGGCACTGGGTGGGAAATTGGCCGCGTGGCCGGTGAACGTTTCAGAAAGCAGGTTTCGCTTTTCTCAGCAGAAATGCGGTTTCAGCAGCTGAGATTAGCTCCGAGTTGCACAGTTGAACACGGAGGAAGTAAAGGCAGGCGCTCCATCAGCCACCATGCCATTTCCCAGGGTTTACTCTGTCCCAAGTTGTGTGTGCATTTTAATGGGAAGAAACAGGTAATTAATTATCCTGGGGAAAAAATGATGTTTCCTGAATAGCAAATTGCAAAGGACGATGAATAGGTGATGTGCACGGAAATGCAGCTGCTGGGGTTTGAACGGCCTGGGAGAGGCATAGTTGAACTTAACGTTGCTGGCATTCACGTACTCATCACTCTTCACTGCTCCCAACTTGCTGACTGTCACCTGTGCCGCGAAACTAGCTGCACGTTCCTCTGGTTATGAGGCATAAAAAGGCCTGGGCAGGTACCACCGTGGTCTGTGTTTGAAGAAGGCAGGGACGGGCCGCTCCTCTTCTACCTCTTTTCTGAGCAGAAGCTCTGTCCCTTTTCCTGCCTCTTATTCACTTCCTGCCAAAGAAAGCACCTCTGCTCTCCCCTGTATTGCCGGGTCCTGGGAAACCTCTGAAGCATCCTTATGATCATATCCAAGATGCAAAGCAGAGAAAAGAAAACCCTTGAGATCAAACGAATATTGCTCACCTACAGCTGGGCCATTTGGAGAGCGAGCACATATTCATGTAGTGGCTTTGGTTGTCACGGTCTCAGGCAGTCCTCACAACCATTCTCAGCTCCATTTGACAGATGAAGACAGCGAGGCTCAGAGGAAGGGGGTGAGTTGCCCAAGTTCACACAGCCGTTAAGCGTCAGAGCCCCAATTTTAGCTTGGATGTATTTAATTATAAAACCATTTTTAAAGCCTTCACTTTACTATTTTTGCTCAAGTAACATAAAACAAGCAGTGGTGCTTCCCCTTCCTGTATATCTGACCTGTTTAGCTGCTATGGACCAGATAGAGGCCAGCCATCCACAGGGCAGCATATCCCAGGGGAAACGCAGTGCTGGGGCAGGTGGTTACTGCACCCAGGCCCTCGGGCAACCAATAGGAAGGTGCTCTGAGACTGTAGAGAGACACTGCCTGTCAAAGACCGGGCTTCTCCAATCCCATTGCACTTTCGGATGTGGCCAGTGACGGGGCCCACTGACTTTCCCCTGTGCATTTATTTATCTCTCGGGAAAGAATGCTTACAGGGCTGTCCCAGCCTCTGCTCTCAGTCAGCTGGCTCCCCGACCTGCTCAGGGCTCCACGCCTTCACCCCGATTGTCATGATTTCCAGCAGCTGTTGGCCTGAAACGTGCTCTGTTCTGTAATTCTTCTTGTTGATGCAGTTGTGGCCTCTAGGTCTCTGTGCCTGTGTCATCGGGGCTCTTAAATGAGCCGGGGACTCCACCATCACCCCCACCTCTGCCAACCCTGGCTGCTGCTCCAGCCCCATGTGTCTACTCCCTGACTGGCAGGCCCCCCGCCCCCAAGCCCCAAAGCAGGCTTCTCCCCGGGAAACCTCTGCCTCCACCGCCCCTGCTCACTGACCGGGGACTGACATGCTGCTCTGCTCACAGAGGACACCCAGCTACACGATGCTAATTAACCCCCTGAGGTAATTAGGCTGTAATTGATTTTCCCAGAGAACATAGCAGCAGGAGCTGGAGGCCCTGAGCAGTGGGATCTCCTGTTGGTGTTTTTCAAGCAGAGGCGGTGGAGAAAGGAAAGTGCATGTTGTTGGAGAGACAAATCCATGCTGTGTCCCAAGCCACTGTGGGCAGATCATTCTGGACAGGACATGGGGGGGAAGGAGGACCCGGGCTTGGAACGTCTGACTCACTATTATCAGGAATATTTTCTTTCACTTTACATCTCCTCCTTCCAACCTATCCTCCTCTCCCTGTAAAAGCCATTTTCAATTTTTTTAACTTTTGAAGTAATTGCAGACTTAACAAAAGGCACAAAAATAGAACTGCCATGTACCCTTCACCCAGATTCTCTAAAATTAACATCTTACATAACCACAATGTAATTATCAAAATCAGGAAATTAACATTGATACAATAATGCCATCTCCTATACATGCCTCGTTCACATTTTGCCTGTTGTCCCTCTGAAGTCCTTTTTTTCTGGTCCAGGATCCAGCCCAGGATCAAAGGTGACATTCATTGTCATGTCCCCTTCATGCTCTGATCTTTCTTTGTGTTCCATGACCTTGATAGTGTCGAAGGAGGATACAGGCCAATTATCTTGTGGTTGTTCCTCAATTTGTGTATTTGCCCGATGTTTCTTCATGATTAAATTCGGGTTATATGTTTCTGGCAGTGAGCACTAAAAGAAAAAAAATGTAGGTTACATGTCAAAAGGGCACAGGGGCCAACTTGATTTGGCCCCAGCGGGCAAATCTGCAGCAATTTTAGCAAGAAAATAAATAATGATCCTAATGGGCTATAAGCAATAGAATAACATAAGAATTGATGGTCCTCAGTGATATAAACAAACAACTCATGGAGGAGAGAGAAAACTCTTCTTTATACTAGAATTTCAGCTCCGAAATGTAGAGGGAATTATGGAAATAGAAAATCATCATTTGGCAAAATTCACAGTGATAATTGTTTGAGGCAAGAATGGCCAATGAATGTTAAAATTAGTGGATGAAAGTATGATGAGAAATAGGATATGTACATAGTCTCAAGCTATCTCCCCCAAGATACTTATGAATTACAATAAGAAATAGTAACTTTACGGCAAAAACACCAGGCACGCGCAACCTCAGCCACGGGATCAAAGTTAACTTCTTAGGAATGGGGAAGCCAGCCTCCTGTGCCCCTCCATAGGATGTGCTAAGAACATGACCTCATTTCTGTGGCTTTTTTTTTTTTTTTTTTGCCCAAAATGTATAACTTGTTTGAAGTAACTTTTAAGAAGAATTAACTTATTTTCTTTGCCTCAGCTTTTTGGCCAATTCCTTGACATTAGGATAGGTCTTTTTTTTTAATAATTAGTATTATATGAGACCCATGCTCTTTTTCTCCTCCTTGTCCCTGGAATTCTATGTGACTCATGCCCTTTTTCTCCTCCTTGTCCATGGAGTTATATGAGATCCATGCCCTGTTTCTCCTCCTTGTCCCTGGAATTCTATGAGATCTATGCCTTTTTTCTCCTCCTTGTCCCTGGAATTCTATGAGATCCATGCCCTTGTTCTCCTCCTTGTCCCTGGAATTCTATGAGATCTATGCCTGTTTTCTCCTCCTTGTCTCTGGCCCTTATGGGTATCCCCTCAGTGCAAGCCCACGTGCAAACAGAAGCCATTTCCTATGAAGAGGAGGATGCTATGACAGCTGTGAAGGCTGCTGGGGGCTGCAGAACTTCCAAAGCTGGAAAGAAAGTGGAGCTGGAACGGGTGCTCACCTTTCCAGGGGCAGGCAACTCAATGAGATGCCCCGAATGAACGAGTTCTGCTTTAGGAAAAGGAGTGGGCCCGAGTTCAGTTAGATGAACAGCTGTGTTCTTCCTTAACGCCCCCTTACCCCCCCGCTGTCTCCATGACAACCAAGCCCACCCCTAGAGACCCATCTCTTATGGAAGTTTCATGTAAGACAAGTCTTACAGCCTATCGAATTTCCCAGTTTGCATAAACTTCAGGTTAGGACCCCCTCAGGACTCGCCGTCTGCTCCTTCCCAGCCAGCCCGTGTTGTGATAATGACGCTGTCCCCCGTGGGAGGCATCCCCGGCTGCTCCCACTCCAGCTGTCATCCTGGATGTCTGTGCACGTGTCACCTGTTCAACCCCAGGAACAGGCGACGTGCAGAGGATTGGAAAGCCCAGGAGGGGAGATGCCTGGCCCATCGCGTTTCTGTTCTTCCCAGCGTGTGCTTCGGGTCCTGCTGGGACCTCGGAGAGGGGGATGTGACGCGCCACCCACTAGACAGGAAGGCTCAGAAAAAACATTTTCCAAGAGGCTGTGAGTGGGCAGCATCCAGCAGGAAGGGGAAGGACACAGACTATGTTCTTTGGGAGGAGAAATTTGGGAAGGCCAGGGGCTTTGGGGCTCATGTGACAGAGGTCTCCACTCAAAGTGAATGTATTAGTTTGTTAGGGCAGCAGTTACAAGACCCCACCAACTGGGCAGCTTAAACAACAGAATTTTGTTTTCTTATAGTTCTGGAGGTTAGAGGTCCAAGATCAAGGTGTTGGCAGGGTTGGTTTCTTCTGAGGCTGTGAGGACAGTCTGTTCCATGCCTCTCCCCCAGCTTCGGGGGTTGTGGCAATCTTTGGCTTTCCTTGGCTTATAGAAGCATCACCCCAATCTCCACCTTCATGTCCACATGCTGTTCTCTCTGGGTTCATGTCTATCTCCAGCTTTTACAACAATAAGACCACAGTCATGTTAAATTAGGGCCAACACTAAGGCTCCCGTTTGAACTTGGTTACCTCTGTAAATCCTGTCTCCAAATAAGGTCCCAGTCTACGGGAATGGGAGCTAGAGCTTCAACATACGGATTTGGAGGGGACAGAGTTCAACTCATACCAGCATTCTGTGAAAAAAAGGAGATGCCCGGCTTTAAGGAAATGAATTCTCTCATTCAGTATTCATTTAGTGAGTGACTGCTGTATGCCATGCACTGGGCGAGGCCTGAAGTTCTCGCTGATAGGTTAGTCCTGGAGGAGGAGGCGGGATGATGCAGCCTCTCTCTGTAGAACTCCAGCCTATCTCTGCACTTGGCCAC